GCGGAGGGGGCTGCGGGGGCCAGCCGGTAGTGGAGCTGGATCCCAAGCGGCTGACTGTGTTGTTCAAGTCCCATACTGGCTTGAAAAACACACCTGGTGCGCCACATGGAGAGGACTGCGGCATGGCCATCCCCCCTTGTACTCTCTCTCTGGCAAGCACACATGCCCAACTGCAAATGTTTTTTTAAAAAACGAAGGGACATATTGGGGGCCGGGTGCATTTCCATGAGACTTTGAAGGAGGACAGGTTTCCCTGAAGCTAAAGGAGCTGCTGATTTGAAGATTCACTTGTCCCTAGGCACCCTTTCCCACCCCGACAGGCAACCCCAGACCTGATTACCCTTACTTGCCACAAATGAGCTCATTCCTGGGGCGCTCCTGACCCCATTTGTCCCATCTTCCCCCCTACCCCTGACCTTGAGGTATCTTGCTCTCTCTTGAACCCTGACTCCTGTCCATCCTACACCAAGGCAGACCCTCCAAGCACCTTCCCTGCCGAACTTCTGTGTTTACATTCCCAAGGGTTCCACCTACTTTCCCCCTCAGAACTCTCTCCTGGGGTCATCAGGGACCTCTAAATGGACAGTCTCCAATGCACTGGACATTGGAGCACCCTAGCCTTTCAGAAGCCTCTTCTAGCTCTTCTACTCTGCCCTCAGTGGGATCCCTGCCCCGGGCTTCTCCTGAGCTCCCCTGTGTTACCGTCTTTGAAGGCAAGTGCTCCTTGGAACCCTGCTCTGAGCCTTCTCCCCAGGTCCCTGGGTCTCCCTAGACACGTCCATTCCACAGCTTCCAGAACACCTGTATGTCAACTGACCCCAAGCTCTAAGTTCCACATGGGAACTGCTGAAGTTATCTCAAACACACTCACCTCAAATTAAATTTAGGTCGCTCCCTTCCTGAATAGACCCTCCCTTTCCTCCACCCCCCCCCCACCATGGTCACTTCCAGGACCCCTGCAGCCTGCACTGGGCCTTGGATGTTGTTATGTCCCCTACTCTCTGAGGGCAGAGGCAAGGGTTATGTCTTGGGCATCCTTATGGCTTCAGTAGATACAGAGCAAGACTTGGAATATGCTTGGATGACTTAAATGCCTACAGGGAAGGAAGCAGAAAAGAGGAGGAGGAGGGCAGACTGGCCATCTTGGCTGGCCACAGGTGTCACCACAGTCTGCGTCATTAGCACTTTGCCTTAAACGCTCAAGGTGGGCAAGACATGGAATTGGAAGCCGGCTCTGCCACTCCGCAGTGGTGCTATCAGGGTTTCAGGCCTCGCTGTGCTTTGGTGGCATGTGTGCTTTCATCCGTCAATGTCCATATTTTGCCACCTTAGAGACAAACGCATGGTGTCTGGCGTCTGATAGTGTTTGGGTGTGGTCTGAGTTGTTACTACATTCATCATGCAGAGAACGCAACGGGCCTAGTGTTGCTGGGGGTGTGGTAATCGCCTGGTTCCACCTCTGCGTGTACAGATGAGCACGCCAGGTTCCAGGGAGCTCAGTGATTTGCTCGCTGCGATGGGATTTATAAGTAGGAGCAAGAGGTAGCAGAAAACATAGAAAGGCAGTGTGCAAAGGCAGGCGACTCGAGGTGAGCCCTGGCCCTAAATGGGACACCTGGGGCAGCGTACCTGGAACGCGCCCCCTTTGCCCACGTTGTGGCCCCACCTGTCCTTCCTATATACCCTCGGTCCGTGCGGTGACGCCTGCAGATTTTAATTACTCCTGCCCACCCCTGACCTATTGGCAGCTTTCAGGTTTGCATGCATAGTCAGATCTGGGACGCCCATCTACCCGAAACAGTCCTGGCTACTTACTGCCCGCTGCCACCATACAAGGAGGCAAAGGGCATGTACTTCGTATTCCAATCCTGTCAGAGTGCATGGAAAGAATGGTGTCCGTGTACAGTGTTAGGGGAAATAAGTTTTTTAAAGAATTACTTTATTGAATTTTATTTCATTAATTAATTTAATTTGACCAGAGAGGGGCAGAGAGAGAAAGAGAAAGAAAGTGAGAAAGCAGTCTGCCAGGTCCGAGACTCAAACCATGGTTGGCCCATGTGGGAGTCCAGTGCCCTTAACCACCAGGCCACCTGTTGCCCCCAGAATAGGTGGGTTCCTAATCTCAGGGTTCAGGTACAGACGTGCTGTGGAGGTTTGCTCTTCTGGATCACTTGGAGAATCCTAAAGTGGTGGCTTGAGGACTGCAGATGACAAGACTGCTGGGGGCTGCATGCCGGGGCCTGGGCTTTCTGTGGGAGGGCCTCTTGGCCTTGGGCCACGTCCCCTCCTGGCCGTCTCACTGTGAATAGAGGGGCCAGCCTGCAGGGGGGGCAGACGTCACAGGGTGTGCTGTTTTCCTTGGCCCTTCACACCCTGCACCCCAAGTTCTGTTGTCAGCGAGTACTTCACCTCTGTGTGGAACTGGCCCCAAAGAAAGGAGGAGGCCTTCAATAAGAATATTTATCTGTGGGAACCAGCAGTTAGCGTAATGGCTATGTCGCTGGACTCCCACGTAGTCAACCACGGTTCGCGTCCCAGACCCGGTGGCTTAGAACTCACCCTGGGCGCGTGTGCGTGCGTGCCCAAGATCCCGAGAGGAGAATGGAGGAGAAGGGATTGCGGCATGACCATCCCCCCTGGGGGGGTGTGATTTCTCGCTTTCTGTCTCTCTGTCTCTCTCTGTCTGGCGAGCGCACGCGCCCTATAGTGAAAACCTCTCCAAAAAAAAAAATTTATCTGTGTGACTTTGGAATGTTGAAAATATATTTATCAAGACTGTGAATCCTGAATTGGAAAAACAATCACATTTTCACTGTCGAGTTTACATCTCTGTCAGGTTGGATCCCCAGAAGCTGTATACCTAGGCCATCTTCGTCAAAACCCTTCAGAGCTTAACAGTACGGTCCTTGACTCGGTCAGTCAGTGTGGGGGTGGCACCATAAAGCAGGTTTTCACAACAGGCGCCGCTGACCGCTGAGCGCACTCAGTGTGTCTGTGGGGCCAGCTGGCGGCAGCTCCTCCATTCCTGTAGTGCCCAGAACTCTGTCTCTGGGACGTGAATGACTGTCCCTCTGTCTAGCCGTGTAGGCGACAGTCCACTGGGCTAAGGAACCCTGAGCTGTCTGCACCCTTGTCCTTTCTCCTCCCTTCTCTTTTATCTCCGGAGTAGTCTCCAGATCCAGTCCCTTCTCGTCACTCCCGCAGCAGTTGAAGGAATCTCTCTGTTTAGATCGGTTCCAGTTCCACGTGCACACCACCCAACGCGTGCGCACGCACACATCACTCACACACACTCTTCCCTCTCCTCCCTGCACCTCCCCTCTCTCCCTTTCTTTTCATCTCCCTTCCTCCCCTCTCCTCAGCCTCTTCTCTCCCCCTCTCCCTCCCTGACTCTAACCCATCTCCCACACGGCTGCCAGAGTGAAAACAAAAATCAGATCACATCACAGCCCAGGTTCTTTAGTGAGCCCCTGTCCCGTTTTCAGGATGGGAGGACCGCAGACCCAGTCGTCCGTCCGGGGGGCATCCAGCTCAGAGACTGGCTCCTCTGGGACCTGGGTGCCCTCCAGCTGCACCACGTGTGCACTGCTGTGCCTGCCCTGCCCTGCCCTGCCCTGCCCTGCCCGGCTGGAGCGCGGTGCTGCCCTTGCATTCCCCTTTGGGCCTGGACAGGCTCCCTTTCTTTCTGCTGAGTCCCCGCAC